GGCATTGTTTCCAGGCGCCTTGACCTTCGTGGTGTGGAATTCCACTCTTTCCTTCCCAGGAAACAAAGATCTGGTGGCATCGGCTATGTGGGCGCTTGCTAGTAATTCCAGATTACTGGAAATATAATTGCAATTGTAGAAGGGTGCATCTACACTGTACAAACAGCCACGGTCTGAAAATATTTCCAAAAAATTATACATTCCAAAAAGCAAACCTTGATGTTGCCGTTTTATATAAGGGAGACCATTTTATTGTGCCATTACGTTTAACGGGACTTGAGCATCCACAGATTTTGGTGTCCACAAAAGGTCCTGGAACCAAACCTGAGCAGATACCAATGGTACCCTGTGATGCAGTTTGAAAAGCACTTTAAATGCCCAGGCTCCATCCCACAGATTCCTGGGATTTGTAGTTTGGTGAGGCACCAGCACTGCTTTGGCAGTGCAGGCGAAAGACCTTGTGAAACTGCAAATCCCAGGATTTGAAAGGGGGGAGCAACAGCACTCAAAGTAGTGTCAAGCTGCATTATTTCTACAGTGGAGATGCACCATGCTCTACCTCCCTTTTTTTTCGTTGTGTGTGGATTTTGGAAAAATTTGAAATGTTAAACGCAGTCCTCCGGGTCACACAGAGCTCTTTGGCTTCTCTCTGTAAACCCAGGTGTGTCTTGTCATTTTTAAGGACTGGTGCAGGAAAGGAAGCAGCCCCAGATAAATAGGTTGCTCCAGTTAATGGATGTTGAGGGTAATAAGACCAAAGTCCAAAGCTGATACTGTTTGCATTCAGCAGAGTATGCAATTGCATTCAGCAGAGGATTAGCCAGACATGTCTTAGTGTTGGACTAAAGCTCTGGAAGGCAGGGTTCAAATCCTTGCTCGACCATGGAAAACTACTGTGACCTTGGGCAAGCTACACTCTCTCAGCCTCAGAGAAAGTGGCAAAGTTCCTCTGAACTAATCTTGCCAAGAAAACCTCATGGTAAGACTTGGCTTATGGTTGCCATAAATCAGAAGCGACTTGGCGGCACACAGCAGCAGCAGCAACAACAATGATGGTGCTATATAAATAGATGATGATGATGATGATGAAAGGCAAACTCCCTCTAAAAAAATTTTGTTGCTGTAATAGGAATGCCTTAGGATCACCATAAGTCATAACAATTTGAAAACAGAGACATGTCAAAATTGCCTCCTTGAATTGAGCTTGGATGCAAACTGGTTGCCGTTCCAGTTGCTACAAAGCTGTTTTTATATGTGGTTTCTAAAGTGCCCTCCAGACAATAGTGCATTGGTGTAAAATAAGTTGGTTTCATAAGCAATAACTGATGCAGATGTCCCAAGAAAATCCCTCCATGTGTTTCCTTGGCTGGGAACTGAGGCCGATCTAAAGGATATGCTTTGAACTAAAAATCTGCAAGTTTCCTGATCAGTTTATTACTTTATTTCCTCTTTGGAGGAAGGATCGTAGCTTGGGTGCTGAACAAATGCCTCCCAAACTGAAGGTCCTCATGTCCAGTCAGAAAAATGTAGGGCTGAGAACACCGCTTTTGCAAGAACATCAGAGCTTGCAAAAGAAGAGTTACACATAACTAGTTACTTGGAATTAATTCCTTCCTCCATGGCTGAAGATGAAGTGAAGCTTCCTCCAGGTATAAGTGATACTAGTAACTCAGCCTCCTTTTCTTCCTCTTTCGTTTCCCCAATTTGCGAAGTCTTTGCATTTGTTCTTTTGAGCACAGACTGTTTTGCAACCAACGAAAACCTCAAATCAGCCTTATAATTCATTTTAGCTGCTTGTCCCAGAAGGCTATGTGTAGCCCAGCAAGCCATATATATATGCAGGGTTTTTTTTGGGGGGGGGGGGAATATATGCAATTTTTTTGCAGGGAAATATGCATTTTTTGTGGGCAGGGAATGTATGCAATTTTTTTTTGGGGGGGTGGAATATAGATGCAATTTTTTGGAGGGGAAATATATACAATTTTTGGAAGATCTGCAGAAATAAGGTCCCAGTGCTTTTGACATGTCCTTTCTGACAAGTCTATTAGCTCTGCCTTCCTCTTTTTTCCCCAAAACAAAACAAAACAAGGATGAAGGGGGGATAGTTACAGGTGGAATATGACCCAGCCTTCTCTGCTCATGATGACTTTTTCACAGAGGTATTTTTAGCTGGGAGCAAAAAATTCAGAACAGTTTTTGGGCAAAGAGACACTGCGCTCTTTGTTCCAGCTTCTGGGCAGGAGCAGAGGGTGCCTCCAAAACATCCTTCCTCTCCTGCCTCTGAGCAAAAGGCCCTTGAAAATGTGTAAAATGTGTATGTGTGTTTCTAGAGATGCCTCCTGCATTGCATCTCGGGTTTCCACCGTCATAGTATTTCAATAGTAGGCGAGTTCTGTGTGTATGTGCCTTCCAGTCGCCTGTCGATCCCATGACTTTCCTAGGGTTTTCTTAGGCAAGGAATCCTCAGAGGTGGTTTTTCCCAGTTCCTTCCTCTGAAATAAAGCCTACAGCACCTGAAATTTGTTGGTGGACTCCCATCCAAGGAGTAACCAGGGTTGACCCTGCTTAGTGTCCAAGATCAGACTGGATCTGGTGCATTGAGGGTATATACACCTTCAAGTCATGCATATCATAGGGTTTTCTTAAGTAAGGAATCCTTAGAGGTGGTTTTCCCAGTTCCTTCCTCTGATACAAAGCCAACAGCACCTGAAATTTGTTGATGGACTCCCATCCAAGGACTAACCAGGGTTGACCCTGCTTAGTGTCCAAGACCAGACCGGATCTGGTGCCTTTACAGGTAACAATTTTATTAGTGTGCCTTCCAAGATCTGCACTGACCATAGGAAGGGTTTTTTTGGGGGGGGGTGCAAAAGAGAGATTCACTTAGTACAATAACATCCAAAATCCACAAAACAGTGATACACAATGCACAAAATTCCTGACGACTGGCCAATGAAAGGTGTCACTGTTTTGTGGATTTGGGGTGTGATTGTACTTTGCTCCATGGCCATCACGGCTATGTTTCCTAGATTCGCTTACTCTGTCACATCATAATTCTTCCCTTTTCAAATATATGTGGGTATATGTGTGCATGAATGTGCATGCATCCCTGTTTGCATTCCTGCACACACATTTCCTCCTCTCTCAAACTGCTTTTTTAAAAACACGCGTCCATAGCATGGAGCTACGGCAATTTAAAGCGGTGTCAAACTGCATTAATTCTGCAGTGCAGATGCAGCCCCTGCTGGGCAGCTGGAGATGAAAAGTTATTGCGGATTGCCTCCTCGTGGCCAGATTGAGTATAACATTTTTCTTAATTTGTGGGGTGGGCATAGATACAGAAAAAAGTGTGTTGTGTTGCCTTCAAGTGGTTTCCGACTCATGGCCAACCCAAGGTGAAGCTATTATGGGGTTTTCTTGGCAAGCTTTGTTCAGAGGGGGTTTGCCATTGCCTTCCTCTGAGGTTGAGAGAGTGTGACTCACCCAAGGTCACCCAGTGGGTTTCATGGCTGAGATGGGAATCGAACCCTGGTATCCAGAGTCATACCTGGGTGCATTTTGATAGAAGCCATCAATTGTCTACAGAGTTCGAAATGTTTTTGTGTTCTGTTGCAAAGCCTACTAGACTTGGTTGCATTGTTTCACATGTGCATATTAGTTTTGAATGGAAAGGTTTGCTAGAATATATTAATTTTCCGTCTTTTATGCTACAGGGACTCATCCCTACTTTTTCCATGTTGTTGCATCTGAGGAAGTAGGCTCGAGTCCAAGAAAGCTCATGCTGCCAACTTCTTTCTTTCAGTTAGCCTCAAAGGAGCTGCAAGATCCCTTTGCATATGTGTTAACTCAGTCTGTAGTCCTGAATTTTCTGTTAATGTCCAGAAATACATTAACTATGCAAACTGGGGTAGGCTTGCATTGAATAAAATAGCAATTAAAATGAAAGCACATGCTTCTTGTTTACCTGTTTTACACCTGCCTTGGTATTTTGCAGGGACCCTGGCAGCTGGAGAACACACTTTCCCCTTTCAGTTTCTGCTTCCAGGTAAGGTAAAGAAAATGTGCTTCTGCTAACCCCGGTTTAGATGTCGTAGGCTGCATCTGCACTGCAGAATTAATGCAGCTCGATACCTCTTTAACTAGCATGGCTCAATGCTATGGAATTTGGGGATCTGGAGTTTTGCAAGACGGTGAGCCTTCTCTTTTAGAGAGCTCTGGGCCATGACAAATTACAAATCCCAGGTTTGCATAGGATGGAGCCATGGCGGTTAAAGCAGTGTATTGAAGTCAAACATATTTGGGTGCAAATTACTATATATACTCATGTATAAGTCTAGATATTTTAGTCAAAAAATGGACACCCCCCAAAAAAACCCCTCAACTTATCTATGGGTCAATGCAAGTACTGGACTTTAACTCTTATAAAAA